AAGGCATTACATAAGATAATGTATGCCTGGAAAAAAGAGTCACTACACTACCTTAGCAGCAGTTTCATATCTTTAGAATGCTTTTAAGCAATTACACAAGGGCAGTGAACCCATCTATGATTAGCTGTCTTTTACATTAGTTCAATTTATTTCCTTATCTACAACTACACCCTATGTATATGCACACCCTATGTACATTACTCAGTTCAAAGTTTATTTCCTCTTAGTATGTATGTGTGTGTGTCTATATATAGACACACACACACTCAGACACATATACATTTATGTGTGTGTGTGTGTTTAACTTTAAAGTCCAAAATCACATTTAATAAATGGAGCTCTCAGTTTTTAAGGTGTTCAACTATAAATTGAGTTTAATATAGGTTAGTATTCATTTTTTTTTTTCTTCCAAAACAGGGTTTCTCTGTAGCTTTGGAGCCTGTCCTGGAACTCGCTCTGTAGACCAGGCTGGGCTCCAGCCTCTGCCTCCCAGTGCTGGGATTAAAGGTGTGTGCCACCACCTCCTGGCCTTGTTTGCTTTTCTGTCTTCCCCTGCCCCTGCCTCCCCCCCCCCCCCAGGACCCGGTTTCTCTGTGTAACAGCCCTAGCTATCCTAAACTCACTCTATAGAGTTCAGGCTGGTCTTGAACTCACAGAGATCTGCTTGCCTCTGCCTCTGCTTCCTGAGTGTTGGGATTAAAGGCCTGTGCCACTGCCACCACCTGGCTTGGCTATGCATTTACTTATTAGCGAGTATCTGTTGTCTTTCAAGAAAATTTTCCAGGGCCAACCGTAATGGTACATAGCTGTAGTCCCAGCTACTTGGGAGACTGAGGAATGAGAAGCATTTGATCCTATCAGTTCAGAAACACAGGTGGTAATGTGAGAAGCATTTGATCCTATCAGTTCAAATCACAGGAGGTAATATGAGAAGCATGAGCCTATCAGTTCAAGATCGCAGTAGGTAATATTGACAGACCTCTTCTAAGAAAAACAATTTTCAAGCATGGTGGTGCATGCCTTTGATCTCTACGCTTTCGAAGGAGAGACAAGCGGATCTCTGAGTTAGGGGTGGGTCTGTTCTACAAAGGACAGCCAGGGCTACACAGAGAAACCCTGTCTAGAAAAAAAAAAAAAAAAAAAAAAAAAAAAAAAAACCAAAACAAAACAAACAAAAAAAAGAAAGAAAGAAAGAAAAAATTGTTCTTCGGCTGCTTCTCTGAGGAGGCAGGTCTCTATCTCCTCTCTCCTCCCTTCCCTTCTTTCTCTTTCCCAATGAAGCTTCCCAAGCAACCTCACTAGAAAGAAAAAAAAAAAACAAACAAAAACAAAACTATTAATTTCCCCAGTTTCCTTTTAATATCTGTGGTATCTGTAGTAATGTTACCTGTTATGCCTGATATTGGTAATATCTTCTCTCTTTTTTCTGAGACAGGGTTTCTCGGTGTAGCCCTGGCTATCCTGGAACTCACTCTGTAGAGCAGGCTGGCTTCAAACTCAGAGATCTAGCTGCCTCTGCCTCCTGAGTGCTATGATTAAAGGCCTGTGCCATCCCTGCTCCTTCTCAGAGTGATCTGGAAAGCCAAGGATGACCTTGAACTTCTGATTTTCTTCCATAGCACTGGGTTAACAGGCTGGCATCACCACATTTGTGAAGCTGGAACTTGAACCCAGGGCCTCATGCTGCTAGACTTTAAATTTAATTGTTAAAAAGATTTTATTTACCTGTGTGCAGAGACCACAAAGAGTCAAGTGTCCCCCATCTATCTAACAATTCTCTAAAGCAGAGTCCTAGCTAGGCTGGAAGCCAGGAGGCTCCTGTGAGCCCCCTATATCTTCATCCTCTCCAAAGCCAGACTTAGAGGACCACAGACAGTCTGTTATGTGGGCATCAGGGTCAGAACTCCAGTCCTCATGACCGCTGAAAGCACTCTCAACTGTTGAACTATCTCTCCAATTCCACTATTTAACTGATTCTTAATTTAATGTATTAATTTAGTTTTCAAAACAGGGTCTCACTATGTAGCCTTGGATATCCTGGAACTTACTAAGTAGACCAAGGTGGTCTCCAACTCAGAGATCCATCTGCCTCTGCCTCCCAAATGATGGGATCAAAGGTGTATACCAGCACATCTGTCCCTAATTTGATGTTTATTATTTTCTTCCTTCTGCTGATTTGGGGATTTGTTTCCTAATTGCTAATGTTACAAACTTAAGTCATTTGTTCTACATACTCCCCTCCCTTAAAATTTAGGGTTGTAAATCAGGTAAGGCTGCTCAGACATCATCCATCCTGAATCCCTGTATCAAAAATAACAACAACAAAAAACAAAAATGAAATTTAGGGTTGTAGGTTTTCCCAAAAGTACTGTTTTACTGATTTAGTGGCATTTCATAAATACTGAAGTATTTAGTTTTCATCTTCACTAGTTAGAATAACTTTCTAAGCTGGGTGTAGTGTTGGATGTTAATCGTAGCACTTTAAAGGCTGGGGAGTTAAGAAGACAGCATGGCTACATGGTGAGACCCTGCCTCAAAAATCCTGGTCACTAGCCAGGCGGTGGTGCACACCTTTAATCCCAGCACTTGGGAGGCAGAGGCAGGCAGATCTCTGTGAGTTCTAGGCCATTCTGGTCTACAAAGCAAGTTTCAGGACAGCCAGGAAAACCAACCAAACCAAAAACTACCTGACTACTTTATTAAACAACTGACCTTTATTCCTTGTTATATTCTTTTTCTGACATCTAATTTGACATGATATAGTTTGAATTCTTGATCCTCTTGCTTCTGTCTCCAGAGTGCTGGGATTATTACAAGCTTACACCAGATAGATATCATGACACACATCTTTAAAAATTTAAGGCCAGAGTTATATGGCTAAACCTCACATTATAATACTTTTAAAAATATTGTACTATATTTCCCTATCCTGTCAGATTTAAACCCTGTACATGTTATGCCAACACACCAGTTTATTCCTAGTTATTCATAAAGTCATATAGGATCGGTTACCATGTAAAGTGTCATATAGCTTGCCTAGCTTTCACCACAGGGTTCTAACTGAAAAAAATAAAATGCAATGTTTATGAAAGCTTGTTTGTATGGACACACTCGTGTATATGTGTTAGGTCAGGGGTCACATGTTGTCCTCAATTGCTCTGCTATCTACCTCATTTAGGACAGTCTCACTGAATCTGGAGCTCAGTAAGTTGGCTGGCCAATGAACACCACAGATCTGCTTACCTCAGTCCCTCCCACTTTACTGATTGAGCCATTGGTCTTACCCTTAAAAAATAATCTTTTATTTATTTATTTAGGTTTTTCAAGACAGGGATTTCTCTATATTGCTTTGGAGCCTGTCCTGGAACTAGCTCTGTAGAGCAGCCTGGCCTTGAACTCAGAGATCCCTGTCTCTCCCTCCCAAGTGCTGGGACCACCAATGCCTGCCTGACTAAAAATAATCTTTTAAATACAAAGTAACCAGGGGTAGGAGAGATGGTTCAGCAGTTAAACACACTCTTGCAGAGGATTTCAGTTCCAAGCTTCTACACTCACAGCTCCCAACTGCCTGCCTCCATGTGCTCCCACACATACGTAGTGCATACAGACCTAGACAGGCACATTAAAATAAAAAGGATGCCAGGTGAAAGGAGGAAGGTAAGAATTTCAAGGCCACCCTCAGCTACCTAGGGAATTTGATGCCAGCCTGGGTTATATGAGATGGTGTCTCAAAAGACCAAGAGCCCTCCTGAGATGTTTGGTTCCTCAGCCAAGACTTCAGTGTGGCACCAATCGGTTGTACCAGTGAAGAAGAAATTCATAGATATTAGACTGGGAGACATGCCAAACTGGATGGTGATTTTATCCAAAAGGTAAGCAGGGCAGCACTGTGCTCACTATCACAAATGCACAACATAAGAAAAGAACACAGCTAGGGTCATCACAGTGCCAGCACCCACGTGCTCTTCAGTTGCTGTCTTTCTTATGTGCAGGCCACAGGAAGGGCACTCCTGAATATGACCAAATGGTCATCTGTGAAGAATTCAACTATGGCTGAATCTTTACATCCTGACAGAGAACTAATGTCTAATAAAAAGTGACTGACTGGTACATGTGGCAAGACAAAAAAGAACCCAGGAAACCAGAAGGAAGCGAATGATAAACAACCTAACATGGGGCTGGAGAGATGGCTCAGCAGCTGAGCACTTGCTGCTCCTGCCTAAGACCCAGGTTTGATTCCTAGCACCCACATAGCAGCTTTGCAGCTGCCTATAGCTCCAGTCATGGGGGTGTGATGTCCTCTTCTGGCCTCTGGATGTTCTCACACAAATATGATGCATATGAATACACATGCAAATAAATCTTAAATGAAAAAACATAAAAACTTGAAACTTAACATCATTCCAATGTACTGTTATTAGGTTCCTTGAATTTTATTATTCAGGATAGAAAAATCAGATTAATTTTCTGAGCACAAACAAAAATAGAGCACATTTATTAACAGTAGGAAAGCTACACTTACAATAACAATGTATCAAATCTCACACAGTAAACATAGCAAAAAAAGAGGACCTCCTTACTTTATATTCTGATCCAGTACCTTCAAAGCCTGTCCTATACACACCTTAACACATACCCACATAAAGGCATTCATTTCATAGGCAGGAAAAAAAATGACATCATTGAAAGAGTTTCCTGGTTTTCAGCTTTGACTCATTATGTTCTACAAAAAAAAAAAAAAAAAAAAAAAAAAAGTCAACAAAAGCTGAGCATGGTGGCACTTATCTCTAATCCCTGCACTAGAATCAGGTAGATCTCTGTGAAATCAAGGCCAGCTTCCTCTACATAGTGAGTTCCAGGCCAGCCAAGACTACGAAGTGAGACCCCAACTTTAAAAAAAAAAAAAACAAAAAAAAAAAAAAAAAAAAAAAAAAAAAAAAACAGCAAGAACGCAATATTCATTCCTAAAATAAATGTGTGTGTGTATATATATGTATATATACATTATATATATATATTTATCTTTTATTGATATTCTGTACAATGGCGAATACTTAGAAAGGTCTGAATCCTAACAAGCTGACCGGCTAGCCTGCTTGCCTGTGAATCATACTGATGTTTTTGGTTCATTAGACAGTCCAATGGAGAGATTTCTATTTCTTTTTCCTCTTCTTTGGCGGCTCATCATCTGAGCTACTCTCTGTACTGCAACTGCTGCTACTGGAGGAGCTGGAGTCTGAGTCTGAGTCCGAGGAGGAGGAAGAGGAGGAGGAATAAACTGATGAGGAAGAGCTAGAGAGGCTGTCATCCGAGTCACTGTCTTCTGAGGAGGATGAGGCAGATGTTTCGCTCTCTGATGAAGACTCACTGGCCGAACTGTCACTGCTAGAGGTACTGGAACTCGTGACACTCTTAGACCTATTCAAGTTACACAAAGCATGCACATATGGGAAGCTGACATTTAACGCAGAGCTTAAGAGTGATCACGCTGAGGGCCTGAACACTAGCCCTAGGCCCTGATGTTTGGAGATCTCCTAACTGCTATAACACATGCCTCCCTACTTTACAAGCTCTCCATCACTTCAGCAACTCTCTCGTTGTTGTCCACAATGTATACCTACCTCCCATACTATGTCACACTGAGAATGCCGGTAACCCCAGGAGGTAGAGGCAAGAGGATCAGAAGTTTTGCTACACAATAAGGCAATCTGTCCCCTACAAATATAAAGAAAAACAAAGGAAAAGAAGGGCACAGTGGCTCAAGTCTAGAATCCTTGCACTCAAGAAGCTGAAGTAGAAGGATCACCAAGAGTGTGAGGCTAGCCTGGGGTACAGAGTGAGATCTAGTCTCAGAAAAATAAAACAAGTGCTAAAGAGAAGGCTTGGCATTTAGAAGCCTTACTGTTTCATCAGAGGACTGGAATTTCGATCCCAGCATCCAATGGAGTACCTCAGAAACCCCTTTAACTTCAGTCCCAAGGGATCCAATTTCCCTTCTAACATCCAGAGGCACCTCTCTATATACACATGTAAATAAAATAACTCAAAAAATCAAAAGCAAAAAACAAAAAGAAAGAAAGAAAAAACAGGGTTGGAAAGATTGTTAAGAGCACTGGCTATTCTTCCAGAGGACCTGGGTTCAACTCCCAGCACCCACATGGTGGCTCACAACCATTTATGATGGGATCTGATGCCCTGTTCTGGCCTAAAGACAGAACAGTATATACATATATAATAAATAGATAAATCTTAAAACAAGCAACAGAGCCAGGCATGATGGAACACACCTTTAAACCCTTCCCTGGAAAGACAGGATTAGGCAGATCTCTGAGATCAAGGTTAGCCTGTTCTACATAGCCAGTTCGAGTCTACCAGGAGTATAAAGTGAGTGCAGCCATGCCTAGACTTAACAAAGACATTTGCTCTATACTTTTGAGAGGTTCCAACTGGACCTGGAACTTACTGGTTCAGCTGAGTTGGGTGCTCAGTAATTCACCTGAATCCACCCATCTGTACTGCCTCAGCACTGTGGTTGCAGGAACCCCCCTGCTGCACCTAGCTATTTACACACATGCATGGCATGTACTTTACTTAACTGGGCCATTTTTTCAGTCCCCTTTAGCAAAATTTTGGTAAGATTTTATTGTTAGACCAGATATAAGGATCCTAGAACACTATACAAAAAAAAAGAAAAAAATGGAGCCAACAAATTGCACAGAAGAGGTAAGTATTAGAAAGCAAAATGATAATTAAGAACTGCAAACAAAGACTTCAGACCCAACCTTCCTCCCTCCAGGTAGTGTCACTGAAAGCCACACCTACCTCTTCTTCTTGGTCTTTCTCTCTATATTAGTCTCTCCGGTGCTAAAGGACATAAGGGAGAACAAAGCTCCTATTAATAAGAGTGATTTTAGAAGCATCTGATAGCCTCAGAACATTCTGTTCTTCATTACATATGCTCAAGGACACAGGATTTCTTGCTATAATCAACTAATTTCCTAGGACAGGATATAGGCAGTACATATGGTTGACTCAGTGCTTAACACATTTTATCTTGTGTACATCAAAGCCAGTTAGTAGTTAAGATGACCTAACACACAAATCTATCTTTTTGTTTAGAGTTTGAACTACTTACTGACAAGTCAGGCAAACAAAAGCACAATAGATGTAATCTGAGTTCCTAGAATTACACCCGGTCATTTCATTTGCTTACAAAATTAAATTTAACCCAAATTTTAGTTATCATAAAGAACAGTCTAGTGAGCTTGTGTAAAACGTGCAGATGCACAAGCTTGTATGTGTGAGCACACAAATTGGTTAATGGCTAGCTACCTTACCAGTAGAGATTGGAGGTTTAGATATGAAAAGCACAGTATAGTGTCTGACACAGTAACCATTTATTAAAATCAGCCAATACTACTATAAACTGGATTGGTAGCACACACCTGTAATCCCAGCACTCAGAGCACTGAGACAGGAGAACTGCAAATTTGAGACTGATATGAGCTACGCAGTGAGACAATGTCCAAAACCCAAAGTACACAAGAGATTCAGATAGTATTACAACGAAACTTTCAGCCCTTAATCAATTATGTAAATATTTGGACAACTTCCTCTGGATGTCACATGTAAACTTACCTTTGTTGTAATAATCTATTTTCTTTTTCTTTTAAAGCTTTCTTCAGCTCTGCCGTTCTTGAAGGCCTGTGGAGGTACTTTCTTTTTCCTGTGCATTCATAAGTCCAATGTCCAAATTCCAAGCATTTCTGACATCTTACATGTTGCTTATTGGCTTCACTACAAAGAACAGAATATAAGCCTTAGAAATTTTGTCTTGTGACACTTTCTGACCTAAAAAGGCATAAAGTATAAAGTGTTTACTCTAATAGACACAGAAATAATACAGTTATGTAGATCAATGCATGCAACCTGGAATTCATCAGACCAAATCTTGGCTCTTCTAAGCCAAGTGTGGTCATGCTTGTAATCCCTCACTTTTCAGGCCAAAGCCGGAGAATGGCTGTGAGTTCAAAGTTGACCTGAGCTCAGATAGAGAAATCCTGTCTCAAAGCAAAACACATAAAAACAAAAATTGTTTTTGCTTTCCAGTAATGATGCATTCGGACCAACATTATTAGTTCAGAATGCAAAGGATAATTATAGATTTTTACTTTACTTTATTCTTCGTAAAGCTAGATAGATATTAAAACCAGGGCCTCCTTCATGCACATGGAATGCTACCACCAAGGTAGACTGCTAACCCATTAAAACACTTTTAAGGATGGGAGATGGCTGGGTGGGTAATGGTGCTTCCTATATGCCTGAAGATCTGAGTTGGATCCCTGGACCTGTGTGGTGGAAGGAGCAGCGAACTGACCCCAACAAGTTCCTCCGGCCTCCATTCCAACACACACACACACACACACACACACACACACACACACACACACACACTCTTAATCCAAGCCCCTCCCCCCAAACAGGGTTTCTATATGTTAACAGCCCCAGTTGTCGTGGATCTCACTCTGTAGACCAGGCTAGCCTTGAATTCACAAAGATCCACCTGTTTCTGCCTCCTGAGTGCTGGGATTAAAAGCATGATCTACCACATCTGGCCCAATACTCAGGTTTATAACTAATAAAACTAATAAATCACGCTTACATCAAAAGCAAGAAACTATTTTTCTTTTAGTTTTGCGTAACTTTTCATAGGTTTGAGAAACTGAACATGCCACTATCACATGGCCATACAGAAGGTGAACACAACATTGCTGGTAGGTTTCGTTTTAAAATGAGGTCTTGCCTTTAATCCTAGTACTCGGAAGGCAGAGACAGGTGGATCTCTGAGTTCCAAGCTAGCCTGCTTTACAAAAGTGAATTCCAGGCTAGGTAGGGCTGTTATAAAGAAATCCTGTCTCAAAAAAAAAAAAAGAAAAAAAAAAAAAAAGAAAAAAAGAAAAAGAAAGAAAAGAAAACAATACAAGCCATCTTGTCACTGAAATAGCCTAATTCTGGAGTCAAAAGAACCAGTTTAAGAGAGGAAAATGGTGAAATGAGCCCCTAGTAACTGAATTTAGCACTCTTAAAATTAAGATTTTTGCTGTTATTATGTATTTATTAAGCCAGGGTCTCAGTATGCAGCTCCGAATGGCCTGGAACTTGCTATGTGGATCAGGCTAACCTTGAACTAAGTGCTGGGATTAAAACCTTGGGCTATGGCCGGTGGTGGGAAGGCAGAGGCAGGTGGATCTCTGAGTTAGAGGACAGCCTTCTACTGAGCAAGTTCCAGGACAGTGAGGGCTATTCGGAAAGACCCTGTCTCGAAACACCAATCAAAAATAAAGAACCGGAGTAAAGGAAATTAAAGGAATTGTTGGTCTGTTATAGGCCATCAAGTTTCCCAAACAAATTTTTTACCAGATAAAGATGGAAATTTATTAACCCTTAATGGACTAGGAAGCTTTGATAGAAAAAAAGTTCTCACAGCCTCAAAGCAATTGTACCACTGTGTAACGTTTCTTTTCCCAAGCCCTCTGGTGATGGTCTTTCTTTTGCCTTTCAATCTGTCTTGAAATGTCACCCCTCCACTCATGTATTTCCAGTCCAACTAATTTGAAGAAGCCTTTCCCGTATTCCCATCACAGCCTCTTATTTCCTACAAAGCTTTTTTTATTTGTTTGTTTGTTTGTTTATGTTTTTTCGAGACAGGGTTCTCTGTATTGTTTTGGAGGTTGTTCTGGCGCCACCAACGCCCGGCCCTATAAAGCTTTTTAAAACCACCAACTGTTCTTGTTCAGAGGATCAACTGGTTCCACAATTAAGACTATAAACTGCGTATCCCGAACATTTTTCTTATGAAAAAAGGCATGGAGTGGTAGGTCCTGAAAGAATTATTTACTGAAGGAGAGAACCACAGAAAGTGAGGCGGTAGATGGGAGAAGAGTAAAGGCATTGTAGACAGGCTAGGAAAGGCGATAGGAAGGAGACCCGGAATACTGCAAAGGGAGAAGTGGGAGAAGTTTGGGTCCTCGGGAGTGAAGGTGTGGAATTAAGCATCCAGGCTACCCTTGACAAAAGTGTGGGACGGACAGAGGAACATAAACCACACAGCGAACAACTCTTGGATTCATTTCGGACTCTCCGAGCCCGCTCAGTCCCGCAGTCCGCGCCAGCTCACTAGCGGACCGGCGTCTCCACACCCACAACCCTCCAGCAGACCCCACTGGGCATCTCACTTACGCTTGTCTCCGAGCTATAAGCCGATGCATGGGAGTCGCCATCTTGGAGCTGCCACGGCCTGCCGCACGGAATTTTGGGAAACTCGGGAGGAGGATGGAGCGGGGCCTCCAAACCTCCGCGGCCGTGGGCGGAGCCAGACGGGCTTATCCCAACTGAGGTGATGGCGACTAGCTACTGGTGTGTTATGTCTAATGTGGGCACTGTGTTTAGTATAAATATGACTAGTGTTCAGAAAACCTGTAGTCCTAGCTTTCTCGAGGCTGAGACAAGAGGATTGCTATGTGTTCAAGGCCAAACTGGAAAACAGTAAGACCCTGATTCAAAACAAAAGAGCAGGGCTTTGGTGGCCACTCCTTTAAATTCAGCACCCTGAAGGCAGAGATAGGCTGGTCTCAGTGAGTTGTAAAATGATGTTGAAGCTAGTTTATATTAAGAATCTATCTCCTGGGGGGGGGGAATTAAAGCAGGGCAGTGGTGGCCAATGCTTTTAATCCCAGTACTACAGAGGCAGAGGCAGACAGATCTCTGTGAGTTCTGATCTACATATTGAGTTCCAGGACAGCCAAGACTATTACACAAAGAAATCCTGTTTCAAAAAAAAAAACAAAAAAACAAAAAAACAAAAAAACAAAACAAAACAAACAAACAAATTTATGTCCTAGTGACACAAGCCTTTAATCCCAGCACTTAGGGACAGAGACTGGCAGATCTCTAGGAGTTCAATGTCAGCCTGATCTGTAGAATAAAAGGGCCAAGGAAAAAACACCCTTACCCTAAGTTGACTCCAAGCTCAAACATAGGAAAATAACCATGGCCCCTGGCTTGACCCAGAGTTTGGAGACTTGAAAATCCCCATCCTTGCAACTCAGGGTGACCAGCCAAATTTGATGTTTCCTATCATGGGATACTATCCCACTAAGCTCACTGCACAGCTCTTCTCTGCCCAGCCATTTGCTTTCTTTCTTCCTGTTCAGATGCAGCTGCCATTATGTTCTTCTCCCTAATAAATATGTGTGAGTTTTGTTGTATGGTGTGACTTTGTGGTATTCTTTGGCTCCTGACTACTAAGATGTCCTTGCTCAGGAGAGAAACTCTTACATGGTCTACATAGTGAGTTCCAGGACAGCCAGAGCTACATAGTGAGATCTTGCCTCAAAAATAAATAAAAAGATATGTGAGGTCAAGTCATTCTGCTGTTTCCAGAATCAGCACCAGACTTTTCTCTCAAGGTTGATAGTGTGTTTCTTTTTTGTTTTGTTTTTCGAGATAGGGTTTCTCTGTAGTTTTGGAGCCTGTCCTGGAGCTTGGCTCTGTAGATCAGGCTGGCCTCAAACTCACAGGTACTGAGATTAAAGGTGTGTACTACCACCCTCTGGCACTTTTGTTTCTTGAGACAAGGATATACATCGTCCAGGCTGGTTTCCAATTCTTTACATAACCTTGAAATTCTGATCTTACCATTTCTACCTCTCAAGTGCTAGGGTTACATTTGTGAACAACAGTTTTTGGTTGGTGTGGACCCAGGGGTTCTTGCACATTAGGCTGGCATTCAACCACTTGAACTATGTATGTGTCTAGCCCAGTTTTTTTTTTTTTAACTAATAATATTTTTTTTTTTTTTTGAGAATTAGCACTTCCAAGCTAGCTTGGAACCCTTTATGTAAACCAGATTATTCTCAGACACACAGATATCTGCCTGCCTCTGCCTCCTGAGTGCTAGGATTTTTTTTAAGTTTATTTATTTATTTATTTATTTATTTATTTTATAGCGTCTGATGTGGGTTGGTAGGCCAGGCTTGCCTTAAACTCTCAATCCTGCTGTAGTGAGGCACGAGGTTCCATAAGTAACAGGTCACGGGAATGAGTTATGTTCCTATAAGGAACATGTCAGAAAAAAAAAAATAGCTAAACAACAAAACCAAAAAGACCTTTCTGCAAGATCTGTGCTTGTAAAATGTTCAGATCCCAACGAAGGCAGAGAGCTGAGTGACACTTAGAAGCAGAGGTTTCTCAATCAGACCATGCAAGCTGCCATGGGAAGGGAAAAACTCGCTGAAATCAGAAGCCACCACTGATTCCTCACCGCAAGGACAATCAACTCTGTGCTCCATATCCAAGCATTTTATTTGCTAAATTAGGAATGTAATGCTTATTGAAGTTTATGTGAAGCTATACATTCCATTTCCAGGTTTTTTGTTTGTTTTGATTAAGACAGGGTTTTTCTGTGGCTTTGGAGGCTGTCCTGGAACTAGCTCTTATACCATTTCCAGTTTTGCTTTTCACTTGTCATTTACTGCAAGGTGATGTGAGCCTAAGGATACAATCACTTTATTCTAATTTTAATCTCTGTGAGGGTTTTTTTTTTTTTTTTTTTTTTTTTTTTTTTTGGAGAGGGAGGGGTTTCAAGACAGTTTCTCTGTAGCTTTGGAACCTTTCCTAGAACTCCATCTGTAGAACAGGTTGACCTCAAACTCACAGGGATCCCCTTGCCTCTGCTTCCCTGGGGCTGGGACTATAGGCTTGTGCCCCCACCACCTGGTGTTTTGTTTTTTGAGACAGGGTCTCTCTACAGAGTCCTGGCTGTCCTGGAACTCACTCTGTAGACCTTGCTGACCTCAGACTCACAGAAATCTCCCTGCCTCTGCCACCTGAACGCTATGATCAATGCCTAGTTGTGACATTCTTTTAAAAACCAAAAACACAATCTATCATGATGGCTGAGCAGTTAGAGTACTTCATGCACTTACAGAGGATCTGGGTTTGATTCCCAATGCCCACATGGTGGCTCACAACCTCCTGTAACTCCAGTTTCGAGGCTTTCAACCCCCTCTTCTGAACTCTGCATGCACAGTGATACACATATGTACATACTTGCAAAATACTCATACAAATAAAGTAAATCTTTTTTAAAATTACAACTGTTTTCTTCATGAAGAAATTAATGTGGGGGACAATGCATATTACTTTCCATTGTGCATAGATTTCTGAAGCTTTACTAACTCTAGATGGGCAAGGATCTCATAGTATGACTCAGTGGTAGAGCCCTTGCCTGACATGTGCTAGGCCTGGGGTTCATAGAGGAGAGGATCAGAGCAGTCTTAAAAATGGTTCTGGGGTAATTAACACATCCTTCTTTTTTTAGCAGCTATCAGCAACTGGTGTGTTTTGTACTCAGGGGTAGTCTCAGCCAGTCAGCCAAACAGGAAATATTTATCTCCAAGTCTAGCCAGTCTCAGGAACAAACAGTTCAGTTAGCGTATTATACAGTTTATGAGACAAGGAATGGGAATTTAGAGAGTCTGTGTCTGGTCTGTCACAAGTCAACAGGGCACGAGGGCAGGCTGACCTAATCATATGAGGAAGAGTTTGTGTTTGCAATAAGATGAAGGCCTTTTTCTGTCTAGTTAAATGGTGTGTGTGTGTGTGTGTGTGTGTGTGTGTGTTGAGATGGGGGTCTCACTATGCAACCCTAGTTAAATGCTGTGTGTGTGTGTGTGTGTGTGTGTGTGTGTTGAGATGGGGGTCTCACTATGCAACCCTAGTTAAATGGTGTGTGTGTGTGTGTGTGTGTGTTGAGATGGGGGTCTCACTATGCAACCCTGGCTGGCCTGGAAGTCACATCTAGACCAAGCTGTCCTTGAAATCATGGATGATTCATTTGTCTCTGCTGCCTATTCTAAAGTGCTAGGATTGTAAGTATAAGCTATTATAATTGGTTTTGTGTTTGTTTGTTTGTTTGTTTTAAACATGGTCTCTCTCTACCTATCCCTGGCTGTCCTAAAACTCACTGATATAGACCAGGCTGGCTGGCCTGGAACTCACCGAGATCCTATTGTCTCTGTTTCCTGAGTGCTAGATGAAAGGTGTATGCCACTGTCACACTTATTTTTTTTTAAATCAATCATTTTATTTTGTTTACTGTTAGGATAATGCTTGTGGGGGACCCTGTTGGATTCCATGGCAGGCAAGGGTTACCAAGGCAGGGACAAACATACTAGGCACACAGAGCTTAGTAAAAACTTTTATTTGAAAGGGAAGATGGAGAGAAAAGAGAAAAAGAGGTAAAGAGACACAGAGACAGAGAGGACAGAAGAGAAGAAGGAGACAGGAAAAATCCTGTCTGTCTCAGGGGAATAGCAGGAAAGAGAGAGGGAAAGAGAGTGTAAGTGGTCAGGGGCTCTTACTTTTAAAGGGGTCCTTTGCACAATCGTGCAGACTATGTAACCATGGGACCCTGGGCTGACCTTCATTCTGCCAGAAGATGGGGCAGGCCAGCATAATGCCTGAGTCCTTACATTTATTTTTTGGTTTTGTTTGCTTTTCATTCATTTCATTTATTTATTTGCATAATTTTCATTCATTTCATTTATTTATTTGCATATAGGCATTTTTCCTGAATGTATAGCTGTGTACAATGCTTTTGGAGACCAGAAAAAGTTATTGGGTCCCCTAGAACAATTTTGATTGTTCTAGCTGAGATGATCCAGCCTCACAGACTACTCTAGCCAAGACTTGAGACAAACCTTGCACTTTTCCATTATGCAGAGACTGGACAAAAATGATACAGCTTGACAGTTAACCCAAAATTTTCTTTTCAGGATCCCCTAAAGGTGTCATTGCTTCCAGACAGCAGAAGTAACTTTAAGAACATGGCACCTACATTCACAAGAAGTAGGGTGGGTGGTTTTTGTTCACTCATTGGGTTATGGATATTTGTCATTGTTTATGGAGACTGGTTATAAAATGTTGTTTGTTACAGTCAAGAAGGAAGTTGAAAAAAGGGGATTGGATTCAAGGTTTTTGTTTTTTATAAAAGGAATACAAACATAATAGGATAAAAAGGATAGATTATTAAATCTACTGAAAATATAAAAAAGGGAGGATACAGATATGATAAGGTAAAAGGTAGATTATTGAGTCTACTTTTAAAAAACAGCTACTAGTTTTAAATATTTCACATTGGATTGGACTTCTATATATTATATACAAATATTGCATATTGATACAAATTTATTTTTATTAAATTAATTTTAATTTTATTAAATTAATTTTATTAAAACATAGTGTACA